ATTATTATGTTTTACTTTGTACCCAGGCCAAGGTCTTGAGGTGTGCCAATCACCACTGGAGGGGGGGGGGGGAACCATCTTTACTGGCTATTATTATTATTATTATTATTATTAGCCATTTCCCCCCAACTCAGACGTTATCCTTGCCCCTTCTAAGCCTTCCCTGGAGCTCCGAATATTCCGAAAAATCCCATTTAAATGTCAAAAAAAGAGGAAAAGGCTGTAAAAGGATCCGCTTTCGTTTCAACCCAAACAGACGCCCACTTTTGCTTTTCGGGGTGGATTTAATGAAGATCTGGCTGAGAAAGGGTTTCCATGGCAACTTCTCCGTCTAGATGGGCAAGATCCTAAAAAGGTGATGATAATGATGATGGAATGATGTCACTGGGATGCCCGTGGTGGAGGAAAAACAGAAAATCTACGATGGAATTGTCCCCATATCAAAGCCTTCCCTTGGGTGGTGGGCAGTGTGGTGTTTGCAGAGGAAATTGGCCAGGCTCTTCGACATGTCCATGATGCCAATGGAGAGAGTAAGGAACAATATGATAAATAAATAGATAGATTGATAGAGGAACAAGATGATGGAAGGATGGATGGATGGAGACACAGACAAGATGATAGATAGATAGATAGATAGATAGATAGATAGATAGAGAAACAAGATGATAAATAGATAGATGGATAGATAAACAAGATGATAGATGGATGGATGGACACACAGACAAGATGATAGATAGATAGATAGATAGATAGATAGATAGATAGATAGATAGATAGACGATAGATAGATAGACAGACAGACAAGATGATAGATTGATGGATGGACAGACAGACAAGATGATAGATGGATGGACACACAGACAAGATGATAGATAGATAGATAGATAGATAGATAGATAGATAGATAGATAGATAGATAGACAGACAGACAAGATGATAGATTGATGGATGGACAGACAGACAAGATGATGGATGGATGGACAGATGGACAAACAAGATGATAGATGGATGGACGGACCTACAGACAAGATGATAGATGGATGGACAGATGGACAAACAAGATGATAGATGGATGGACGGACCTACAGACAAGATGATAGATGGATGGACGGACAGACAGGCAAGATGATAAATAAATAGATAGATGGATGGACGAACAGACAGACAAGATGATAGATGGATGGATGGACAAACAAGATGATAGATGGATGGATGGATGGATGGATGGATGGACAGACAGACAAGATGATAGATGGATGGACAGATGGACAAACAAGATGATAGATGGATGGACGGACCTACAGACAAGATGATAGATGGATGGACGGACAGACAGGCAAGATGATAAATAAATAGATAGATGGATGGACAGACAGGCAAGATGATAGATGGATGGACGGACAGACAGACAAGATGATGGATGGATGGATGGATGGATGGATGGACAGACAGACAAGATGATAGATGGATGGATGGATGGATGGATGGATGGATGGATGGATGGATGGATGGACAGACAAGATGATAGATGGATGGATGGATGGACAGACAAGATGATAGATGGATGGATGGATGGATGGATGGATGGATGGATGGACAGACAAGATGATAGATGGATGGATGGATGGACAAACAAGATGATAGATGGATAGATAGACAGACAGACAGACAAGACGATAAATAGATAGATGGATGGACAGACAGGCAAGATGATAAATAAATAGATGGATGGACAGACAGACAAGATGATAGATGAATGGATGGACAAACAAGATGATAGATGGATGGATGGATGGATGGATGGATGGATGGATGGATGGATGGATGGATGGACAGACAGACAAGATGATAGATGGATGGATGGATGGACAGACAAGATGATAGATGGATAGACAGACAGACAAGATGATAAATAAATAGATAGATGGATGGACAGACAGACAAGATGATAGATGGATGGATGGACAAACAAGATGATAGATGGATGGATGGACAGACAAGATTATAGATGGATAGATAGACAGACAGACAGACAGACAAGACGATAAATAGATAGATCAGTGGTTCTAAACCTGGGGTCCCCAGATGTTTTTGGCCTACAACTCCCAGAAACCTCAGCCAGTTTGTCAGCTGTTAGGATTTCTGGGAGTTGTAGGCCAAAAACATCTGGGGACCCCAGGTTGAGAACCACTGAGATAGATGGATAGACAGACAGGCAAGATGATAAATAAATAGATAGATGGATGGACAGACAGACAAGATGATAGATGGATGGACGGACAGACAAGATGATAGATGGATGGATGGATGGATGGATGGATGGATGGATGGACAGACAAGATGATAGATGGATGGATAGACAGACAAGACAATAAATAGATAGATGGATAGACAGACAAGATGATAAATAAATAGATAGATGGACAGATAGAAAGACAAGATGATAGATGGATAGATGGATAGATGGATAGATGGATAGATAGACAGACAGACAAGACGATAAATAGATAGATGGATAGACAAACAGACAAGATGATAAATAAATAGATAGATGGACAGATAGAAAGACAAGATGATAGATGGATGGATGGACAGACAGACAAGATGATAAATAAATAGTTGGATAGACAGACAGACAAGATGATAAATAAATAGATGGACGGACAGACAGACAAGATGATTGATGGATGGATGGATGGATGGATGGATGGATAGATAGATAGATAGATAGACAGACAGGATGATGGATGGATGGATGGACAGACAGACAAGATGATAGATGGATATATATTATAATTATATTATAATCATATATTATAGTTATATTAATTATATTATTATTATTATAGTATTATCATATATATTATAATTATATTATTATATATATTATATTATTGTTATTGTTATTATTATTGATTTATTCAGAGATGTATTTGCCAGCCATGCAATTACAATTATTATTATTATTACTATTATTACTATTATTGTTATTATTATTGATTTATTCAGAGATGTATTTACCAGCCTTGCAATTACAATTATTATTATTACTATTATTATTGTTGTTATTATTATTAATTTATTCAGAGATATATTTGCCAGCCTTGCAATTACAATTATTATTATTGTTGTTGTTATTGTTGTTGTTATTGTTATTATTGATTTATTCAGAGATGTATTTGCCAGCCTTGCAATTATTATTATTATTACTATTATTATTATTATTACTATTATTGTTATTATTATTGATTTATTCAGAGATGTATTTGCCAGCCATGCAATTACAATTATTATTATTATTACTATTATTACTATTGTTGTTATTATTATTAATTTATTCAGAGATGTATTTGCCAGCCTTGCAATTACAATTATTATTATTGTTGTTGTTGTTGTTATTGTTATTATTGATTTATTCAGAGATGTATTTGCCAGCCTTGCAATT